ATTTGAGGCTCTAATCCGTGACCGATTGATCTGATTTTCAATACTCTACTACTGTTATACTATATAGTCAACGAGTGAACGAACGCACGTGCATCGGACACGGGTACAACACCAGGCTCGCGGCGAGGCGCATTAATTCAAGGTCGGCGGAAGAATAAGCACCACGCTCTGACGATGAGAACGAGCATGTTTTCGAAACGTCAACATAAATACAATTTGGTCCCAGCACTTGCCCCCTCTTCTTCTTCCTCTTCCGGAGATGATAAACACGATATGATATCTGGACCCCGAATATTTGCGCATATTAATACTATAACCGTATAATTTACTTGAAATACAGATTATGTGACTAAGATATGCATTGTGTATGTGGATGAGAAAAGTGAAATGGGAAAGAAAATCTCAGACATTTCGAGTAAGATATATAGCTTAGGAACTAGTGGCACTTCTCAGAAAGTGCACGACCGAATACCCAATCCAAGTTACCGAAGACAAGATTGTGTCAGCTGACGACAGTCCTTATACACTGCGAGCCCTTTCACCGTCAATTTTTGATAAGGTGGCCAGCTTCTGAAGGTCTGCATCGTGTTTTCTGCAAGGTTATCTCAAATGTTTTAAGAACTTACCTTGTCAGCCATTCCAGATGACTAATAACTACTCGACTATGATATACTGCTTTAAGTACAGAAAAGTGCAAAACCTTAGTAAAACAAAGGTTAAAATTCTGGTCACTGAGCAGCTATGCCCCTCTGAGAAAACTTACTGCCGTGGAACCATTTTCATTCACTTCAGCCAGAACGCACTGAAGAATGAAAACTACAGCCACGTTCTCACTCCTCGGCAATTCCAGTAGAACTTTGTTTGAAGCGGAGAGAATGGTGGCGGCCGCCAGCTGGGCAGTCCTTGCACCCCTCGAGGTTTTTCCACTTGCGCTTTCCCTGTCAACTTCTAGCAGAACGCTCTGTACTGGTTCAACCGTCCTCCATCCATTGTGAACGAATACCTTGTAAATACATACAAAGAGTCCAATGGTAAGAACGCCACGGAAGAGAGCAGAAGAAAGACATTTCAAAAGATCCCTTCTGAGATGCACGTCCCCGGACACAAATTAGAAGATGAGGCGATATCGGGAACCATTGTTTTATCGTCCTGACGTTTTAAAAGCGTACAGGCTTCCGTCATCAGGGGTGCTAGTTGTTCCGCGCCTGCAAGTTTGAAACCGGATGGATGTATGAGCGCAAGCAGGATTACCGGCCTGGGGCGACAGCTTAGGTCGTGACAGCTCGCGAGCCGATGGTGATCACCCATATAGCTGAACCACAACCAGAAATATGGATCATCAGCTCAGCCAGTTCATCCGCCCAGCCTGCAAGTGTGAAGCCAGATGGAAGTAC